GAAATAATCTCAAAGGTCTTTCCTGTTCTTTTCAGCCTTTCCTTTTGGATAAAAGAAAAGTCAGTGGCGACTCTTGCTAACCACAACATTTGCGATCAAACGCAACACATCCCAAGTAAGTTCTCCCACCAAATTACAAACCTCATCTTGTATCGCCTTGCTTGGGCGAAAAATCTTTTGAGATGGGCAGCGTGGTCGATTTCTACTCAAAATTTAATGATCATGTCATACTTGTACACCTCGAACATGTCCCCAATATCGTTGCATAAGACTTTGTTCATCATCCACTGGTACATTGCGCTCGCGTTTTTTAGGCCGGAGGAAAGTATGTTCTAGTAGTAATTGCCCGACCAGGTCATGAAGGCAGTGCAATGTTTGTCGCTCATTGCCATGGGGATTTGATTATAGCCCAAATATGCATCCATAAATGATAAAATTTTGTAGTTGGCCGATTTGTCGACTAGCATGTCAATATTAGGTAAAGGAAATGCATCTTTGAGACATGCTCGGTTGAGATTATTATAGTCAACACGCATACGCCATTATCCATTATTTATTTTAACAAGTACAATGTTGGAGAGCAAGATTGAATATTAGGCCTCAAAAATAAAATTTGTCTCTAGGAGATCTTTTACAACTTTTTCAGCATCCTCCGCTTTTTTGGGAGATTGCTTATGCCTATTTTATACTACTTCCCTAGCGACTGGATCCATGAAAAGTTAGTGACAGGCGACCTCAGGGTTGAGTTCGAGCATCTCCACAGCGCTTCATGTGAACAGGTCAGAATTGTCCCTCAAGCGGGTTTTGAGCTGCTTCCTCCCCAAGTCGGGGAGTCCATCACCGATCTTCACTCCTTTACTTGGGTCTTCACCAAGGGGGATGAACTCAAAGTCTCCGTCTGGGATAGGTCAGAGAGGATATTGTTCTCCTTTGAGGCCTCAACTTCATCTTTAGTGAAGCGGGTGTCGAGGTCGATGGAGTTGACCTTTGACAGAGCTTATTGTTCTTTAACTTGAGCAGGTTTTTCAGTCGAGGTAGACGTTGTTGTCGAGGAGGTTTCTCTTTTGGCAGGTCGTACCCCAGTGTCGACCATGTTTTTTCCTTTAGAATCCGCATTGAAACATCTCCTGGAAGCTGAGATGTCTCCATGGATGGTGGAGACGCGGTTCCTACTGGTGTAGAACTTCATGTTTAAATGTGTTATGGAGGGTACAACAGTCAGCTCGGCCAGTGTTGGTCTCCCTAGGATGCAGTTGTAGAGAGGCAGGAAGTCAATCACCAGAAAACACACTTTGACCTATCGGGATGCGGTTTCTTCCCCGAACATGACAAACAGCTCGACATAACCCCATGGCTTATATGTCGAACCATTGAATCCTTGCAGGTCGAACCCCACGTATGTTGACAGGTGGGAATCGTCGAGTTGTAAGATGGAGAACAGGTGGGTGTACATGACGTCAATGAACCTTCCCTCATCGACCAGGATGCGATGTACATCAAAGTTGTCCATCTTTTCCCTCACCAGCAGAGGGGTATTGGAGTTAGGGGCTCCGTCGGGAAGCTCCTCGAGGTAGAAGGTGATCGGCTCAAATTTTCCCTTGAACCTTTCAAGGGTTACAGCCTAGACCGGGGCTGCATCTATCAGCTTATTAAATTTCCTCTTCGTTGAATTCACCGAGACGTCACTGAATCCCCCACCAGATATGACCATAGAGGAGGGGAATTTCTTTCATCTGTTGTGGGTGAACAAAGGCTCATCGTCCTCGAGACCGTCGGGGATGTGGAAGTTCTTGGGCCTTGAGACACAGAAGGCTACCTGGAGGTGACTAGACCCGTCGGATGATCGGGCATCCTCCTCAATTTATTTAACCTCAGGGATTTCCCAGCGAGGAGCGTTGTTTCTCTTGTACTTCTCGAGTCTCCCTACCTTGATGAGAGTTTCGATGACATCCTTCAGGTGGACGCAGTCTTCGGTCAGGTGATCGTGGCTCCAGTGGTATTGACAATATTTTTTCCTATCGGCCCCGGGCTTAGCAGGGGCTGGTTGAGGACACCTGACCCCATCGTCCTTGAACTCAGTATTGGAGCAATCCGCAAGGATATGCTCGCGAGAAGCGATAAGTGGGGTGTATTCGGTGAATTGTCTGACTGGTCCTCTGTGCTCACTGGAGTCGTGAGACTTCTCCTCCCTTCTCTTATCCCATTTTCATCGAGAAGAGCCTGTATCATTGTGGCAGGATGTTAGTTGGTCTGCGGTTCCTCGTATCGCGGGTGTTGTTGGCGGCCTTTTTTTCCTCGTGGTCCATGTAGACCTAGGATTTTTCGAGGAGTACGTCAAAAGACCCGGGAGGCTCGATGCCAATGGACTTTCTGAATTCAATGCATGGGAGGAGTCCCCTCTCGAGCAATTACCTCTTCATGTGATTGGTGTAGGGGATCTGAATGGCCTCACGGTTGAACTGATCGATGTACTCTATAAGGGTCTCATCGCTCATCTGGACGATTTCCTCAAGGGTGGTCATAGTTTTCGGGTGCCGACGAGATGTTGTGTAGTTGCTGACGAATTAGTTCTTCAGACTCCTCCACGAGGTGATCAACCTGGGGTGGAGGCACTTATACTAGTTCATGGTTGTTTTCCTCAGCGTCTTGGAAACAACCTGCATTTGATAGGGCCCCCGATGTTGTGATAGTGGAGCATCGCCTCAAAGGGGTCGATGTAGTCGATAGAGTTTGTAATGTTGTCGTACTCCTTCAGATAGTGAGGCTTCTCCATCCCTTTAGGAATAGGGCCCTCCATGATAGCTTGGCACAGTGGACCACGGGGTTCATCTGCGTCGCTTCTTTCTGGGGAGCGAGAAGGGGACCGATTGTAGCTCTTGTTCTTTGTCGTTCATGGGATCATCATTCTTTGTGCGGGGGGTGTGACCGCGCTTCTTGACAGCTTCAAGTTGCATCCTCTCTAATGCAGGACCTCGCCCAGTTCGGCAGGGAGAAGGGCTTCGAGAGTCATCCTGTTTGTGTCTCTATGGGGGAGATCGGGAGCGGTCCTCATGTCGTCGGGGAGGAGGAGTTCAATAATCGGGTCTTCGGTGTTTTCTGGGGGAACGGCGGGTTTGTTCCAGCATCATCAAGCATTCTCCCCGCGAGAAGATCATGTATTTCATTAGGTTGATCTTCACGAATAAGGCCCTGGTCGTGGGATCGACATTCTCAGGAACAGAGATCTCTTGATACACAGCAGAATCGTAATTCTATTGAGGTTGGTTGGCATCGTCGCGTGGTTGCATGCGGGTGAAAGTGGACGCGGTCATCCCGTCCTTGAAGTCGTGCTCGATTGTGTTATTGTTGCCAGTGTTAGCGTTGTTGTTATTGTTGTTGTTGTCGGTGTTATTGTTGTTCCCAACATCAGCAAAGTGAACATTTTGGTCACCATTGTTAGCTTGGTCGGCCATGATGGTTGGAAGGTTAAGAAAGAGTTGCTTTGATTTTAAGTAAATGAAAGACGGAGAAACTGATTTTCCACAGACGGCGCCACTGGTCGGACCTGATCAGAAGGGATCGTCAAGGCCCACGAGCTTCAAGTTGAGTAGCGGTTGAATGTGAAGTGGGGTGGGTACCTGCAAGACACTCCGATGTCAAAGTAAAATTCAGAGCGAGTAAAGTGAGTATGAATGAGTGAATGAATACCTGACTCTCTCAAGTGAGAGGATTTTTATAGCCCCTAGCACTGGGCCAAGATCTCCAATGTTGGGCCACGATAAGATTCAATAATGGAGACTGACAGGGTTTACGGGTGTATGGAGTCCAGCACGTGGCCTCCTCCCTGGTCAATTGCCCCGAGAAAATAGGGAAGTTGGATCCGTTATTCTCGGAGGACAGGATAATGACGTTATGGAAGCTTGAGTCATGTTCTTCTAGTGGACACATGGGGAAATGTCCAACAGTCCTCAATTTAGGCTGCGTGCTTTAGAGCTTGTAAAGGCGCTGGATTGGGTCTCCCCAATAGTTGGACAGGTGCTAGCCCAGTCCAAAACAATATATATATATATATATATATATATATATATATATATATATATATATATATATATATATATATATATATATATATATATATATATATATATATATATATATATATATATATATATATATATATATATATATATATATATATAAGGAAAGCGAATAATAAAGTGCACCTCTATCCTTTTTTGGATATCAAAATCGAGGTGAAACCTATGCTACCCCTTGTAAAATTGAGGCTAATTTATCCTAAATGACATATACCAAATAAAATTTATCAAATAAAATTAATTTCTAAAATCACATATTAACTCAAAACCTTAAAATATTGAGTCTATGTCTTTTCTCACTTAAAAAAAGTTTAATATCCTTTTATCCATTCAATATGAGAATCATTACTCACACTTGACATACCAATATTTTACTACTCAAAAATCAAGTTATATATTATTTTCTTGATTTAACCAAACGGATGAGCTCGAGTGGTATACAAACTTCTGGTAAGGAACGAAGGTTTGTGGGAACATTTCTAAAGTTTTAGATTAATATGTAATTTTAATATAAAATTATATTATTGTCGGAACATATTTTCTTATGTTTGATTATTTTATTTAAAGCGCTTTTAATTTGCAATCGTGTATATATATATATATATATATATATATATATATATATATATATATGATAGAATAAACAAAAACATGAACAAGAAAAAGTTTGTAAAAGCGAAATTGTATGACTGCAAAAACAAGAGCCGGATGATGAAAGCCAAACACCATGCAGCCGTCTCATTCATAGTTTACATCTTCATATTATAATAAAATTCAATATTTTAAACCAACAAATTAAAATCATTTTTAATTTCTCATCAAAAAACACAATCACTAAACATATACATTGACAGCTACAAATTCCTATATATATAATCCAAACCTGATTTAACTTGTAGAAATATATTTCCCAAACTTATCAATATGTCATGTGGCTTAAAGTGTTCAAAAGGCCTAAAAATATGCTGTGGTGTAACATCGATTTTCCTAATTGTAGTATTAGTGATCCTACTAGTCTTATTCCTCACTGATTTCAAGCGTAAAGACCCTACAATTACTCTGCAATCAGTTAAGTTTGGAAGGTTTATGTTTGATGTTACTCCAATAATTGATCTTAATGCATCATTAGCCATATTAGTTACTGTTGATAACCCTAATCATGGAAGTTTTACATACCAAAACAGCACAGCTTATCTTCATTACCGTGGCAGACTCTTAGCTGAAGCTCCATTACATGAAGACACAATTCCAGCTCTTAAATCACATAACATTAGCACTGTCTTGAATGTTTATGTAGATGTTACAGAAGTTCCTGATTTATTGGGTGATTATTTAAGTGGAATTATTAGTTTTACATCAATAACTAATTTAGTAGGTAAAGTTAAGATATTGAAGTTCATAAAAATCAAAGCGACAAGCTACTCCACCTGTGAGATTCTTGTGTACACGCGTAACCAAACTGTCAATTCAATCTGCAACATACAACTCAAATTATGAATGTATTTCGATTTTTCTGTATTGTTTTTATTCATTCATATATTATCCATAGCTAATTAGTAAGTGTTGGTATTCCGCATAGAGTACATGTAATGGTTGATTATTTTTAATTTAACTCACTGAGATTGAAGCTTGTTTTTGTTGGTTATGTACTTTTTGATCAGCATCAAATTGAGAAGGTGCAAACAAGAAACTGGGAGGATGTATCATGTAAACCTCTTCTTGCAAAATAATATTGAGGAATATGTTGGAATATTTTGATTATTTAATTATATATTAGCATTTCAATAATTATGTGGTCTAATATATTTATTTAATTATATTAACTATTTTATTAAATAAAATATCTTAAATAATTATGTGATCAAATAATATGAAAAAGATTATTTATATTTTATTTAAGAATTATTTAATTAATTAATTAAATAATTGGATATGAGCTTAAATATGAGTGAATGTCAAGATGACCCATTTAGAAATAATGGGAATCCTAATTGGTCATCACACTATATACAAGCTATTGTTAGAACAAAGTTTGGTTCTAATCATATCTTAGAGTTTTGATGATAACAATGAAATAAATTTTGTTATATTTATGTTATACTCTGACTTGTATGCTCGCTAAAATCAGATGATGCTCTGACGCACGCATCTTAGAAAGAAACAGGATTCTACGCTAGTACAAAGCAAACTCAGAATGAAGAGCAAATCCTCAGCAACCTCTGATAGATGCACGCTGAATACAACATCTGATAAATATAAGTTTAAAGTAAACTCTGATGAACACATATTGAAGAATACTAGGATAGAAGAAAAGATCAAGTAAACTCTGAAATGGAAACGCTGCAAGCAAACACTTCAACTTCCAGAGACAAGCTCTGACAGTATCATTGGTTATTAAATGCTAAGACGGCTAACGCACTCAAGTGTACTACGCGCACTAGCATTGGAAACATAAAGGCCAAATCTACTCGTTACACGCAACACGCATCATTGCAAACACGCTTCATTAAATGCATGCACTATCATCAAGGTATTAACGGTCAATTGGAAGCTATATATAGAAGACCTTTTGTATCAAAGAAAGGTTACAGACTTACGTAAAATATACTTACACTCACTGTTTTCATACTTGTAAACTAATACTGTATAGTGGGTAGATATTAAGTATTGGGCAACAATCTTAGTGAAAAATCACAGTTGTGATAAAGCTTTTTAGAAGCCAATCTGTTTCACTACTATTTAGAGAAAATTTTGTAAGTGTTCCTTGAGAGACCAGTTGGGTCAGATTTCTCAAGAGGGCTAGGACTAGTTGAGTCTTAGAGATTTTAGTCACTTGCAGTTGGCTTGTGCATTGTATTGTTAGTCACACCAGTTTGGTTTTACGCTTGTAATCAGTTTGATTATAGTGGATTAAGTCCTCATTGAAAGAGGCGAAATCACCTTGGCGGGTGGACTGGAGTAGTTTGAGTTTCAAACGAACCAGGATAAAATTACCAGTGTCCTTCCATTAGTATTGCGCTAGAAAAGAAGAAAAACTTATTCAACCCCCCCCCCCCCCCCCCCCCCCCCCCCCCCCCCCCCCACCCCCTTCTAAGAGATGAGCATGATGGGAGAACTAAAATTCTTTCTAGGAATTCAAATAAATCAAACGCCAGAAAGTACCTACATACATCAGACAAAGTATGTCAAAGAACTTCTGAAGAAATTCCAGCTATCAGAAAGTAAAGAAGCAAAGACCCCAATGCATCCCACATGCACTCTGGGAAAAGACGAGGTAAGTAAGAAGGTAGATCAGAAACTCTACAGAGGTATGATTGGATCTCTTCTCGATCTGACTGCATCTAGACCAAATATTCTATTGAGTGTATGTCTATGTGCTAGATTCCAATCAGATCCTAAAGAATCTCACTTAACTGCTGTTAAGAGAATTCTGAGGTATCTGAAAGGTACTACTAACCTTAGACTGTGTTACAGAAGATCCAAAGATTTTAAACTAGTAGGTTACTGTGATGCTGACTTTGTTGGAGATAGAATAGAACGCAAAAGCACCTCTGGAAGCTGTCAGTTTCTGGGTGATAACATCATCTCATGGTACAGCAAGAAGCAAGCCACTATTGCACTATCAACCACTGAAGCTGAATATATATCTACTGCTGGATGTAGCACTCAGATAATCTGGATGAAGAGCCAGTTGGAAGATTATCATCTATATGAGAGTAAGATTCCTATCTTCTGTGATAATACCTCTGTTATCTGTCTCTCAAAAAATACCATCTTACATTCTAAGGCAAAACATATAGAAATTAAACATCATTTCATAAGGGACTACATTCAGAAGGAAATTTTAAACTTAAACTTTATAGACACAGACCATCAATGAGCTGACATTTTTACTAAACCCCTTGCTAAAGATAGATTCAAATTCATTCTGAAAAACATCAGCATGGAATTTTGTCCTGAATGAAAATATTTTTTCTTCTATATGTGTTTCCAGAATGTTCTGAAATGAATGTTCTGATTAACTGCTCTTCAGAAGTTAGAAGAGGAGTTACATCAGAAGCCATTCATCATGTTCTGAAATGTGTCTAACATTTCATTACTAAAATGGTCAAAAGTTCATTATATTAAACCAGCTGTCTCACGCTTCCCTTAGAAGTTGAACGCGTGTTTCAATTCTGAAAGGTCACGCATGCGTGCACTGCTATTGAGACGCCATTCCTAGGTAATTGTTTAGATTTGATCAAAATCACGCAACCCCCTTAAATGTCAAATCTCATTAATTATCTATAATTATTATGTTTTTTAAACGTTTAAAATTCTTAAACTGCTCATTAAATTAAAGATTTTTTAACTATATATACCCTTGCAAAATCCCTGTTCTATTTTTTTTTACTCTCTTTCTCAAACACCAAACTCCTCCCTCACCTCAAACCACAATCATCATATCTCCTGATGTCACACCACCTTCCTCACCAGAAATTCCATTACCTTCATCATCTGAACCCTCTTCACCTCTCTCTCTAGAACTAATCCCTAGTCCATCCTCAGTAGAACCTCTTGAACCCTCTGTCCCTTCTGACTTTCTCAGAACTGTAGTTGATCTTGAATCACTACGTTATGTACAAATAAAATCCACCAAAAAGGCCTCTCCCAAACCAACTCCAAAATCTAATCAATCAGATGTTCTTGTACGCTGTCAGAACTTCGTAACAGAAATGCAGACGTGGATTGACCTGCTGAAAGCTGACAGTGCCAGCAGCCTGAATCCAGCAGCGTGTGATTTTATGTGGGACGCTTTCAGAAGCAAAATCAATGATGAAATCCTTAATTTGCAAGAACTGTGCTATGCTCAAGTTCTTGAGAATTTCTCCAAGTATCTGAATACTTTCTTGACAGAAGGTGTAAACATCTAGGGTCAGAGGTCTCCACTACAGATTACTGGTGCTTCATTACCACCTGCTGACCCTATGGAGATATCAGAGGATGAATCAGAAGATGACGCTGAGTCTGAATCACATCCTTTGGCCATGACTTTGTATCACCAACCTTATGCTAAAGCTAGCCCTGATAAAGTGCCTACTCTGTTGATTGATCCTGGTACCTTTCTGTCAAATGTTGGGTACTCAGGCTCTGCTACTTCTGCTTCTAAGGTTGTCTCATCTGAAGCTGCTTCAACTTTTGTGTCACCTTCGTTGTTGCTGGATGCTCTGAATGAACTGAAGAAGGACAATGAGGCCATCCATGAACGTTTGTATAAACAAGATGAAACCAACAAGGAAATCAGATCTTGGATGCAGAAACAAGAGGATTCCTCAAATGAAATCAAGAATCTTCTGCTTTCCCTTGTTTCTCGTCGCTCTTAAGTTTTATTTCTAAATTTTTTGTTTTTTATTTTCTTTTTATTTTGTAACTCTGTTTTCTCTTGAATCTTCAATATAAGACTATTTTTTCTGATCTTTTTTTACTTTTTGCTTATGACAAAAAGGGGGAGAAAATAAGATTTTGATCTTATCCATGAAACAGTTACGGGACTAAGTCTCAAACAATTCTAAAGATATACAAATTTATTTTCTGTTTAAGAGATTTACAGGAACTCAAGAAACTCTGAAAGACTAAGTTCTGAACATCATCAAGAAAAGAATTGCTAAAGCAAACTCTGAAAGAAAAAGTCTAAAAGCTCTGAAGAACAAATCTCAGGAAGTTTCCCTTATGCCTTTAAACTCTTTAATCATTTTTTATGTAAGAAGAAGAAATATCAATCTCAGGGGGAGATTATCTATCTCAAGGGGAGATCCTCATACTTGCACAAAATTTTTTTTTCCTAAAATCTAAATTGTTTTGTCATCATCAAAAAGGGGGAGATTGTTAGAACAAAGTTTGGTTCTAATCATATCTTAGAGTTTTGATGAAACAATGAAATAAATTTTGTTATATTTATGTTATACTCTGACTTGTATTCTCGCTAAGTTCAGATGATGCTCTGACTCACGCATCTTAGAAAGACACAGGATTCTACGCTAGTACAAAGCAAACTCAGAATGAAGAGCAAATCCTCAGCAACCTCTGATAGATGCACGCTAAATATAACATCTGATAAATATAAGTTTAAAGTAAACTCTGATGAACACATATTGAAGAATACTCTGATAGAAGAAAAGATCAAGTAAACTCTGAAATGGGAACGCTACAAGCAAACACTTCAACTTCCAGAGACAAGCTCTGAAAGTACCATTGGTTATTAAATGCTAATATGGCTAACGCACTCAAGTGTACTATGCGCACTAGCACTGGAAATATAAATACCAAATCTGCTCGCTACACGTAACACGCATCATTGCAAACACGCTTCATTAAATGCATGCACTATCATCAAGGCATTAACGGTCAATTGGAAGCTATATATAGAAGACCTTTTGTATCAAAGAAAGGTTATTGACTTACGTGAAATATAATTACACTCACTATTTTCATACTTGTAAACTAATAATGTATAGTGG